CAGGAGATATTAACACTACTCCTGCCCCCGCTCCTTGTCGGTTTGAACTCCCATCGACAAACAGGTGAAAGGAGTCGCCGATGTAAATGCTGCAAGGTCTTAGTTTTTCTTTTCCTTGTTCTTTTGTCTTTGGCTGGGCTTCTCCTTGCTTGCTTAGACATCGTTTATCTCGGCTCAACGGAGCCTGATGTTTGATGGATTCCGGCGTGAATTCGGCCACGAAGTCGGCCAAAACTTGGCCCTTAATTGCTGTTTTCAGCCTGAACTCCAGGTCGTATTAGCCCAAGGCCACTACCCATCTTGCTATTCTTCCAGTTAAGTCTCTTTATTGTAACAAGGACTTCAGTGGGTGTTCTGTCAGCACTATAATCTTGTGCGCTTGAAAGTAATGGCTCAGTTTCTTTGAAGCCATTACTAAAGCTAGCGCCAATTTTTCCAAGGGTAGATACCTTGTTTCTGCATCGGCTAAGGTTTTGCTTACATAGTAAACAGCCCTTTGCTCCCCTTTTTCTTCACGAATTAATACCGCGCTTATTGCATGTTCTGAAACGGCTAAGTATAAAAACAGCTCTTCTCCAGGTTCGGGTGTTGAGAGGACTGGAGCCGTGGTCAGATACTTCTTTAGGTCGGCCAAGGCGGCCTCACATTCCTCAGTCCATAGGAAGTCTGTGGCCTTCTTTACCAGGTTGAAGAAAGGTTTACATTTGTCTGAGCTTCGGCTTATGAACCTGTTTAGGGCTGCGGCCCTTCCAGTAAGCATCTGAACTTGTTTTGCCGACGTCGGGCTTTTTAGCTCTAGGATGGCCTTGATTTGATCTGGGCTGGCCTCAATGCCCTTTCTTGTTACCAGGTACCCCAAAAATTTACCTGATCCAACTCCAAACGCGTACTTCGATGCGTTGAGTCGGAGCCGGTATGTTTTGAGTATCTCAAAGACCTCTTTTAGGTCGGCAAGATGACCCCTTGGATCCTTGGTCTTCACGACCATGTCGTCAATGTAGACTTCCACTGTTTGGCCAATCAGATTTTTGAACATCTTGGTTACCAACATTTGGTAAGTTGCTCCTGCGTTTTTTAACCCAAAAGGCATTACCTTGTAACAACACAGTCTTTTTGGGATGATAAACGCTGTCTTCTCTTCGTCTGGGGGGTACATAGCTATCTGGTGGTATCCTCTGTAAGCGTCCAGGAAGCTCATCCTTCCATGTCCAGATGTGGCGTCTACCAACTGGTCAATCTTGGGTAGAGGAAAGCAGTCTTTGGGACAAGCTTTGTTCAGGCTTGTAAAATCTACGTAGACCCGCCATTTACCGTTCTTCTTCTTTACCACTACTATGTTGGATAGCCATGTCGGGTAATGAACTTCTCGGATGGCCCTGGCCTCTAGAAGTTTGTCCACTTCTTCTTCTACTGCTTCGACGTGCATCAACGTCGGTTTTCTGGCTCGTTGAATCATAGGTTTTGTCGATCTGTCAGCATTCAGTCTGTGGCAAGTGACCTTGGGGTCAATGCCAGGCATTTCGTAAGGTGTCCAGGCGAACACCTCAATGTTGGCTCTTAAAAAAGTCTCCAACTCTTTTTCTTCTTCTTCAGCTAAGCCCGAGCCGAGAAGAAAGAAGCATTCTTTGTCTCCATCCTGGACGAGGATTTTCTTCAGCGTTTCTTCGCTCTTCTCGGCTGGTTCTTTGTCGACGTCTTCTAGGACTTCTACGTCCTCATCTTTAATTTCTGCTTTTTCTAGTTCTCGAATGTTGCAGGTGGATTTCATTGCTGCCATGGAGCAATTCTTTGCCTGCAGTTGATCTCCTCTGACTTCTTCAATCCCATGCTCTGTTGGGAACCGCAGTAGTTGATGCAATGTTGAGGGAACTGCCCCCATTGCATGCAACCATGGTCTTCCCAAGATAATGTTATATGGTGAAGGTGTGTCAATCACCATGAATTCTGTCCTAATCTTCTTAGTGCCAGCTTGTACTTCCAAGCTTGTTGCGCCCAGTGGCCACGTCGGCGTTCCATTGAAGCCGACCATCGGGCCATTTGATTGCTCCAATTCATCAAAATGAAGGCCCAGCTCTTTGTAACTTCTAACGTACATGATGTCGCAAGAGCTACCTTGATCAATCAGGATGAGTTTCACTTGGCACTCCCCAACATGGAGAGATACTACCAAGGCATCATTATGGGGATGCTGGACCATCTCTAGGTCGGCTTCAGTAAACGCTATCGTCGGTCCTTGGCTTTCTTCAGGCCGAGGTCGTTTATGTCCAACCTGGTTCACGTACTGCAGGTGTTTTACCTTCTGGGTCTCCCCTCGTATGTCGTTTTCGTTCACCTTTGAGTGAATTACGTTAACCACCCGTGGTCCTCCTGCGGGTGGTTGCTGTGCTGGGAGAGGCGAAGCTGCCGGTGCTTGAGGCAATCTTGCCTGTTTTTCTCTAGTCCTGGCCTCATCAACAAGGTCCCTTAGATGTCGTTGCCTTACCGAGTCTTCTAAGTGTGCTTTTAGGGCTCTGCAGCCCTGAGTTGGGTGCCCTTCTTCATTGTGGTAAGCACAACGCCTACCAACGTTTCTTCCCATGTATTCCCTTGGGCCCTTTACTGGTACTCTGAAATAAGGTTGATTTCGGATTTGATCCAAAGAACTTTGTGGATCGGGACTCGGAATATGGTCGTTACTGCTTGTTTTGCCTTCAAGTCCGTTTCTTGTTTGGTTGTCCGTTGTTACCTCGGCTTCGCTTCGGCGAGCCGTTTCCTTTCTCCTGCTTTGTTTCTTTATTTCCCGACGTATCTCTCCTCGGCTCTGGCGTACTTCTCATTCTTGCCATGAGTTTTTCCATACTTTTTGGCAATGTCCTTTGCCAACCGTAGTGGGCAGTCATCTTTCAGGCCGTTCTTGAAGGATACAACCGCCACCTCTTGGTTGCAATCAGGTATTCGATTGAAACACCTCGTAGTACCTTTTTGCGTAGGTCCTAAGGCCTTCATCCTTGGCGATCTTAAAGCCATCAGTGCGTCGACCCTCAAGGGCTGAAGTTTATTTGTCACAAACCTGGCCACAAACATCTCGGCCAGGCCTTCCCAAGTCTTTACGCTTCCCTTCGGTAGTTTATGGAACCAATCTGATACAATTTCCCCAAAGGACGAGGGGAATACTTTGCAGAAGCAACGGCTCGTTCCCACTATATAATGCCATTGAATTCAGGTATAGCCCAACGTGGAAGTTTGAGATCTGACTTACCATCATAATATTGGAACCTCGACATACTGAATCTCTTTGTGGCTTGAAATTTGTCCAGTTCCATTGAGAATGGTGTCTTTGGCTTAACCGGGGAAGTTACCTCGGCTTCAGCATTCTGTTGTTTCCTCTTGAGGTAATCTCTCAAGTCTTCTTTACTCCTCTCTGGAGCTCGGCTATCTTTAGACTTCAATCTTTTTGGCACACTACTTTCAGCCTCGTGGTGGGCTCGTTTTGATCTCTCTCCATGTGTTGTGTCAAAGCAGGGCGCCTGCCCTTGAACATGCCGATGTTCTTTGGGCTCTGGGTCCTTCGTCTGATACGTCTTCGGGACTCCTCTCGTCTTGCTCATTCTTTGTCGGCGACTTCCCTGGAAGGTCGGTGAAAGTGCCTTCCGCTCCTGGTGTGCTGAGGGACTTCGGGGATTGCTCTTCTTCCCTTCTTCTGTGTATTAGTTGCGGGCATCGGCGTATCCTGCAGCGGGTATGGTGGCTGCATGACATTATTTTGCATCATGAAGTTGATGACCGACTGAAGGTCTGCCAACTTGTTTGCCAATTCTTTTACTTCCTCATCCCTCCGTAGGCACCTATCCCTCCATACCTGAAGGTTATCTTCGTTATAGTACTTGCCTTGTTCTGTCCTCTTCGAAGTGTCGCCCTCCTGGCCGACGTCTTTCGCGCCGTGGCCCTGGTCATGAGTTTCTGCATTGTGGTTGTCTCCTTTAATGTCAAGGTTAATTGGTATGCCACTCCCAGCAGGAGTGTCGCCCTCAATGTTTTCCTTCTGTCCGTTACTGGCCATCTATTCTTCTAAGTTTCCCACAGACGGCGCCAAATTGTGTGAGTGATTTTCTGACCACACCGCCCGCCTAGTAATCAGCTGGAGAGCACCGGCAGAATAGATGGCTTCAGCTCACCTGTAACAGAAAGAAAAGGCTCCGGCGGTGACTCTTCCACCCGGGGGCACTCCGACGATCAAGTTAGTATATCTCTCAAAGATAATCAAGTGCTAAACTCACTATTCAAAGCATAAGACTGCGTACCTTACACCCACGGGGGTGCCTCTCTTTTATAGCCAACTCAATCCTGATTCCACTAGAAGCCTGACTTCTATGGACTCCCATTCAGTGCTTACTTTGGATTTCTCAAGAGATAAAAATAAACTCCCTAAGAGCTTTATCCTTATCTTGGCTAAGTCTTTTTTTTACTCTATGACTCTTGTCCCTTATCTTTTATCCATTTATCTCGGATTCCGATATCTTCGGAGACAATCTTGGCCTTGCCGAGATAACCTCGGCGCCACAACCTGGACACGTGGCACCTCGGCTGACACGTCGGCGTCACCTTGCCACGTGTTGATATTCAGAAAATACATCCCCACAGTAATTATGCCAAAAGTATGAAATTAACTATATTTTCTCTAAACATAGGGGAGGTGAGTCTAATTTACCCTTATATATTTTAAGTGCGTTTTACCCTAAAATTTATTATAATTTTTTTTTTTTTGGGGACAGAATTTTACAATCCTTAATCGGATTCTAGCATCCTACTACTAAAAATAATTATACATGAATTTCATTTTCATTTTCATTTTCATTTTCCTTTGCTTTTTCTCTCCTACCAAACAGGAGCCTAAATCATCAAATCAACCTAATTGTTCAAACCCTTGATCTTCCAAATAAATAGGCTCCGTCAAATATATTACAATTTTTTAACTCTATAGCATATGGTATAAAAGAAGAACATTTAAACACTTGGTTTACCAGTCACTGCAATCAATCCACTGATCTCAAAGTCCAACATATAGACCATCTTCATCAGCTCCGATTCTCTCACTGCCAAAGCGCTCTCAACTTCGGAACACTTCACGATTTCCGACTCTATCTCTCTGGTGATCTGAATTCCCGCTTCGATTTCTTCATTCACCTGAAAAGAAATGGAATTCAAGCAAAATTTTAGTAGAAGCCCTAGATTTTTTATCTGAGATTCCCAAAATGTAGGTATTGTGATAGGGATATGGTTGAACCTGATCGAGCATATCCTTGAGAGAAGAGATCTGACAGAGAATCGCTCCTGAATCCTCCATTCTCTCTCTCTTCAAATTTGCCGCGCTCTTTCAAACTTTCACCTCCAACGGTCAAAAAACCCAAAAAAATTTGTAAGGCCTCATTTTCTATTTATATTTACAAAAATTTTAAAAATTATCATAAAAATTTGTTTGATAATTTTTTTAGTTTATAAATAATTGTCTCAATTTATAAATTTGAAAAAAAAATATAAACTCAAAAAATAAATATATGTTGGTTTTTAAACAGAAATTAAAAATTTGACTAACAAATTTTTTTTTCAATTAATTTTTTTCTAATTAATTTTTTTTTCAATTATAATGTGTATGATCCCATTGTCATAAATAATAAAAAATAAATATAAATATTTTGAACCTGAATAAACATATTTTTTTGTTTATGTTTTTAAAAATTTTTAAATATTTTATTCAAATCAAACGCGTTTGTAATTTATGTTTTTCTAAAAATAAACAAAAACCAATTTATAAGCTTTTTGTAAACATAAACAAAAAATGTAAACGTTGTGTTTAGAATTATGATTTGAGTATAAAATTGTATTTTGAGTTTATAAGTTTTAAAATTATAATTTGAAAAGAGAAAATTTGTTTGATTATATTAGTTTTAAAAAAAGTTTTGAATTATCATTTGAATTGAGTGTTGAAATTTTGAAATGAGTGTTAAGTTTGTAAAACGTAATTTTATTATGAGTTTTAAAAAGAATTTTCAAAACTTAATTTAAAAACTTATAACTTATAACTAAACATATAATTTAAAACTCTATTGAAAATTCTAAAAAGCTCATAACCAAACTCTTTGTAAAATTTAATTTAAAAAAATAATTATTAACAAAAAATATTAGGATAAATTACAAACACACCCTTTAAAGTTTACTTAAATTACAAATTACCCATGTGGTTATAGAAATTACATTACGCCTCCTAAGGTTTCTAATGTCATAACAAATAGGTCATTTAATTAATAAATCATCAAGTTAATTAACAGTTTTTAACAATGTTAAAATTTATTTCAATTAATAATTCAGATAATTTTATTATTGTATAGGTAAACAATTAGAAATTTCACTTTTTCAATTAATTTTATTAAATAAAATTTTTTGACAATGAGGTATTTGTAATTTTCCAAACCACAGGAGTCAATTTGTATTTTAAGCAAACCTTAGGAGGTATATTTGTAATTTACCCAAATATTTTTTTTTATTTTCTAAAAATTACTGTGGCAAATTAATTTTTATTTCAAAATGTTTTTGGTTAATTTTAAATAAATGTCTAAATAATTTGTTATTTTGGTCTTAAAAAAATATTTTCTATATTTAAAAAATATCACAAACAAATATAATTTTTTTTTTTCTTCTCCAAATAACAAGTCCCAGTTGCTAAAAAAAAAATGTCCCAGTCAACGGACTGGACGTACGGGGAGTGACCGGGTAGACTCAAAAATTCAAAAACTGTCTAGATAGATGTCCGGGCGAACGACTAGATAGACCAAAAAATTCAAAAACTTTCTGGTTTACCAAACATGTTTTCAAAATGTGTTTCGAAATCATGATTTGAAAACTATAAGCAAACATAGAATTGATAACAATTGTGGAATCATGGTTTGAATTACAAACCAAACACAATTAAATTTTTTTTTTTTTTAAAGTTCATTTTTAAGGCATGTCAAGCTGTTCATCCTTTTTGTTTAATCAAATTTGAATTAAATGATATTTGATATCAAGTATTGTAACGGAGGTTTTTAAAGCTTTACATCTGATCACCAGTTGACCGGGCGGATGATTAAGCGAATGTCCAGTTGATCGACTAACCAAGGTAAATTTTTCACAAAAATTTGCCTTGAAGTGGTCATCCAGGAGACATCCAAGAGGATATTCGGTGGTAACAATCAAACGAGTATGAATAGTAATTTGATGAAAGACAACCATTTTCACTTTGATAAAAAGATTTGGTGACGGATTGGAGTAGCAAAAATTAAGTTTTTTCATTAAATTTAAATTTGATAAATTATTTGGTGAACCATTGAAGATGATCTAAGAAGTTAAATTTATAAAAAGTAAATAAAACTCATTGTTTTTACATTTATTGTGCAAGCAACTTCTGAAAATTTAGAAACTAATTTAGAAGTATTTTTTAAATTGTGTTTTCATTTTTATTTTTAAATAGTTTGTCAAGTTTTATCTTCATATTAATTTTAATTTTCTATTCCTAAGAACAAATAAATTAAAAAAAGAAAAGCTATATTAGATTAGTTGTAGGGTTGAGATACTCTCTTGTAGTTGTCTATCCTTACTCTTTGTCATTTGATTATTTAATTTGTCATTTGTCTAATAGAATTAAAAATATATTTTCTCTCTCAATCTACGTGTTTCTCTACTTCTCTTCATTTTAGGTCTTGTTTGAGAATATATTATTTTAATTTTTTTTTATTATAAAAAGATATATAAAAGAATAAATAAATTAATATGACAAATTATAATGACTTTTTAAATTTTTCATTAAGACTAAAGATTGCTACACAAAAATTAGAAATTAAAAAAAGGGTTTGCCTTCTCTCCAGTCTATAATCGGATTAGAAAGTACTGTTGGATCCGTGGAGACCCATCATGGGTCCCGTTTTGATAATTTGAACCGTTAATGTGTAGAACTCATCTAGTATTATATGTTTGTAAAAAATCATGTTGATCGAATATCGATAGTTACGTGATCAAATTAGTTTTATATATAAAAAAAATTGGTGGTAAAAAATAAACGATTGACAGAAATCTGATTTGATCACATAACTATCGATATCTGATCAACATAATTTTTCACAGACATATAGTACTCAACGAGTTCTACATATTGCACGATTTGAATTATTAAAACGAGACCTATAATAAATCTCTACAAACCTAGCAACACCCTTCAATCAGATCACGGAGTGGAGGGAAGCCAAACCATATCTTCCCTTTCAACTCGCGTCTTTCTATAACTCTCCACCACACCTTTAAGCACAGAGCAGTCGGACTACTTCTCTTCTTTTGTTCTTCTTGTCACTTTTTCATCTCTTTTTATTTTCTTTTGTGTCTCCGTCACAACCACCACATCTTCTTCCTCTTACTCCGTATGATCTTGCACTAAATCTGAACTTAGTGATATGAACTTTGAGACAATTGCCAAATTAATTATAAGAACATTCGAGTTGCTTAACATATTTTGTGTGGAGAAAAGTGCTAACATGACAAAGTCAATTACTCGATTAGATTAGTTTGACTAATGTGACATTGAGATGTTGGTGAAAGTTATTTGACCAATTCCTTTATTATTTTTATTCTCAACACATCTTTTTTCAACGCATTCTTTCAGGTGTAAACAACTCTCTTTTAATAAACAAGTTAAACTTGTTTTAATTATGAAGTAAGTAAAGAGAGTGGCAGACACATAGAGGCACAAACGGGACATGCCTCTCCCAAATTTCATAAAATCTTGTTTAATTCAATACAATTTTAAATATTTACAAGAGATAGTAGCCATTTGAACCCCTTTAAAATTTATATAATTTTACTTTGATCCTTCTAAAAAGATAGTAGCCAGTGGCAGACACATGTTTGATTGACTTTTTAATATATTTTTGAAACAAGTTTCAACAACTAATTTGGCAAAAGAATGAAAAATAAAAAGTCATTATTTTCACTTAATTTTCTCTTGTTTAGGTAGGAAATAATTTTTTTTTAAGTTTTTATTTTTGTCAAACTAATTCTAATTTTTTTTTTAAAAAAAATTAGAAAATAAGTTTTGAAAACTCAACCAAACAAGATTTTGAGTATTTATATATATATATATAATAGCATTTTGAAATCTAAAATTCTAGCCAATCTAAATATATATATATATATATATATAAGAAGCATAAATTACGAATATACCCCTTGAGGTTTACTAAAAATACGGATTGCTCCATATAATTTTAGAAATTACAAATACCTCATTGTTAGAATTTTTATTTAACAAAATTAATTTTAAAAAATAAAATTCCTAACTTTCTATATAATAAGGTACAAAGGTTTTTGAAAATATGTTAGAGACAATTGTCCTACTAGGACATTTCAATGGTTATAATTCATTTGTCTATTTAGATGAATGGCTGAGATGGCCTCCTTAAATATATATCAATATATATCTACACTTATTTCTCGCCCAAAGAGTGAGTTTCCTACTCATCCACGTCTCCCCTCTATTCTATCTTTATCTCTCTCTTCTCACATTCCCGCTTGCCCACGTCTCATCTCCCTTCTATCTTTATCCCTCTCCCTTCTCTGTTCTCACCCACCTCATTCCCTCGTTACCTCTATCTCCCTCCCGTTCTTCTTCTTCCCTACCCAGTGTGCCTATCTCTCTCTCCCTCCCGTTCTTCTTCTTCCATACCCAGTGTGCCAAGTTTTGCTACCGACACTCCTCTTCATCGCAAGGTAAGTTCTCTGATTCTCCTCTTTATCGCAAGGTAAAATTCCCTTAAAATTCCCTTATAATAAGGTACAAAGGTTTTTGAAAATATGTTAGAGACAATTGTCCTACTAGGACATTTCAATGGTTATAATTCATTTGTCTATTTAGATGAATGGCTGAGATGGCCTCCTTAAATATATATCAATATATATCTACACTTATTTCTCGCCCAAAGAGTGAGTTTCCTACTCATCCACGTCTCCCCTCTATTCTATCTTTATCTCTCTCTTCTCACATTCCCGCTTGCCCACGTCTCATCTCCCTTCTATCTTTATCCCTCTCCCTTCTCTGTTCTCACCCACCTCATTCCCTCGTTACCTCTATCTCCCTCCCGTTCTTCTTCTTCCCTACCCAGTGTGCCTATCTCTCTCTCCCTCCCGTTCTTCTTCTTCCATACCCAGTGTGCCAAGTTTTGCTACCGACACTCCTCTTCATCGCAAGGTAAGTTCTCTGATTCTCCTCTTCATCGCAAGGTAAAATTCCCTTACAACGTTTTTGCCTTCAGTATTGTTTATTGTTTTTCTCCCTTTTTCTACCTCTTCCCTTCTCGCTCTTTGATTTCAATTCTTCTTTCCTTTCCCTTACATCCCTTTTGCCTTTTTTTGCCCCACCATTTCCTTCGATTTCTTTTCTCTTTTGGGGGGTTTTGAGAAAGAAAACCTAGAAAAATAAATTGACAGAGATTGTATCTTTAAGATCACTTTGGCATTTTCTGATTTCAATTGCTTTCAATTGTAAACTGATTAAATGTTCTTTAATCTCTCTGCTCTCTAGACCTGTTCTTCTTCGGTATTTTCTGATTTCAATGAGTGGGGAATTGATGGACAAGGTGTGGGTTTTTTTTACAAATTTCAATTATATACATACATATATGTATCTCTGTGTATATTGACTTATTTATGTTCTGGATCTTATTTTCTGTCTCAGGCTTGCTTCGTTGTGGCAAGAGTTGTAGAAAATTTGAAAACATTGATTTGAGGGAGGAGGAGATCAAAGCATGGAGCATGACTTCTTTTTTTTTTTTCTTTTTTTTTTTTTTTTTTTTTTTTTATACAGGCAATAGTATAATAGTATATCAAATGTGTGTGTGTATGAAGTGCTACTGCTGAAGTTTTGCATTTGCAGATGGAGGCAGTCGTTTGCATTTCCGTTAGGGAAGCTGTTGACCGAGTTCGAGACTTGGTTGAACCTCAACTCTCCAACAATCTCAACTTCCATCTGGTACCATTACTTTCTCTTCGTTGTTTGTTTGCCGGGAAAATGAGGGAAAACTTGAAAGCAAACTCCTACCTTGAGTTTTTTATATATTTATTTTAGGGTTTAATTTGGTGCTTTTTTGTTTTTGGGTGGAGGGTGATCTCAGGAATAAGGAGGATTTGGAGAAGTTATTTTCTCAGACGAAGTATGTGAATTTGATACAATGTGATTGTGAATTTCATACACGGTGGTCCGCAATTTGTCTAAATTAACACTGTGATTATGATATGTAGAATAGTGATTTTCGAATTTAAGATTGTCACAATTTGTGTTAAGTATTTTGATTTTTTAGGGTTAATTACACAAATAATTATACTTTGTGTTATGTTACACTTTGGTCCCAGTCTTTTAATTGTTCCACTTTGGTCCCCAAATATTCAAAACCAGTAACGGGAGGGGGGAATTTTGATAATTTTACACAAAAAAATTGCAACAAAAATAAAAGATTAGGGATGAAAAATTAAAGAAAGTTTATATTGTGGATTAAAATGAAACAAAATGCATATTTTAATAATTAAAATAAAATACTACAAAATGTATATTTTTAGACTGTGTGTGTATTTGGTCATATTTTAATGATTTTGTTGGTACTTCTGACATTGTGATTGTATTGTAACAAATTGCCTACTTTGGGAACCAAACTGGAACAATTGAAAGATTGAGGACTAAAGTTTAACTGAACTTATATTTTGAGGACCATTAACGTAATTACCCCCTGTTTTTAAAAACTTTTGCAAGTGTTTTAATAGCTCCTTTTTTATAACTTTTTTGGGGGCAAGTAGCTCCATTTTTATTTTATGATAATAACAATGAAACAGGTTTGATGGTGTGATCCATTTTGCGGGGCTTAAAGCTGTTGGTGAGAGTGTGATTTACCCTTTGCGCTATTTTGATAACAATTTGATCGGCTCAATCAATTTATACCAGACCATGGCAAAATATAACTGTAAGAAGGTGTGTCTTTTGTCCATTTGATTTCTTTTTAGTTTTTGTTCTTGCAATTCAGCTGATTAGAAATCAAAAGATGCCTTTTACATTACTAGCAGTGTTTGTAGTGTGGGAATCTTAACAGAAGTTTCCCTAGCAATCATTTACCTTTCAAAAGAAGGAAAAGAATGTGTTGTGGGAATCGTATTTGAATGCTTAACAATGAAGTTACCAAGTGTATGTACCTTTCGATGCAAGCATTGATTCATTGCATTAGATATCTTCACACTTACTCCACTATTGACAAAAGTTTTGTGTGGGCTTGTAGTTGGTTTTCTCTTCGTCGTCGATAGTCTATGGCCAACCTGAAAAAATTCCATGTGTTGAGGATTTTGAGTTAATACCTAAGAACCCTTATGGGCGGACCAAGGTATATGCTACAATATCCTAAAATATGTCCCCTTTCTACTCACATTCTATGTTTTATACTCCAAGTCTGTTGGACCATTAGAGAAGGAATGGTGTACTTAGTTTAGAAAGGTGCAATTTCTTAATTCCCCCCCCTAACCTACGTTTTGTTCCGTTTAATTAGCTTTTCCTCGAAGAAATTGCTCGAGATATCCAGAGTTCAGATCCTGAATGGAGAGTGATTTTTCTGAGGTACTTTAACCCTGTTGGGGCTCATGAGAGTGGCAAAATTGGTGAAGATCCAAAAGGCATCCCAAACAATCTTATGCCTTACATACAACAAGTAGCTGTTTGAAGATTGCCTGAACTAAATGTTTATGGCCATGATTATCCCACACCTGATGGTACTGCGGTATGCAGATTCCATTAATGTTACTCTTTTTTAAATTTAAAATAAATAAATAAATTTGCAAAGAACAGAGAAGTTAAGATAATCTGTATTATGCTTGAGAGACTGATTTAATCATTTAAAGATGGCTATTAATTCTACAGAAGAAGCAGTGGCTATGCCTTTCTTGTGGTGATTGCAGCACATCCATCTCAACCTAATCAAATCGCGCTTGGAATAAGTGATGGTGCAATCTATGTAATCAAGCCATTTGATGCAGAGCAAAACTGGGGTCGAATAGTGCCTCTGTAAAATGGAGGTTTTCCCCTTCATTCTTTAGAATTCTGCTTTGAATAGTCAGCCATCTGAAACCCCGTGCTAGGGATATTTGTCGTCTGTAAATTTATATATCCAATGTTGTTATAGGTTTTTTTTTTTTTTTTTTCCGGACAATTCTAAGTTCTACACATCGTTGAATCATGTGAACTTCTCGAGGTATGATCAAACCATTGTGATTCAAATAAGCTAAAAGGGTTATAAGTTTTCCGGGACAGGAAATCATTTCTGAAGCATAGAAGAGTCTTTTTTATGAACAAGGGAATTTGGAAGTTACGGTTGTTAATTTAGTCTCTGCCATTGTGTGATCTTTTTATGTTTTAGTGTAAGCAACAATGTTATGAAGATGCAGAAGATCAATGACCATGTTGGCTATGCATTAAAATGGAACATGAATAATTTGATGGCTGAAATTTAGTTTTTAAACTAAATTTTATTTTTTGAATTTTTTATTTTTGTCTTTTATAAATTTTTTTCATGTTTTAAATTTTTTATTAGATGCACTTCATTCATATCTTTTCAGTGTCAAACATTTTAAAAAATTCACTCCCTACTCTTTGAAAAGAAAAAAAAAATTGTACCGTGCCTAAAGACACGGGCATACGCTAGTCTATATAATATGGAAAGAGGGTTTTTGAATTTATCCTAAAGATAATTGTCCTAGGACATTTTAACGGTCATGATTTATTTCTCCTTCAGGATGGACAGTAGAGATGAAACATTCTCTCTCACTCATTCTCTCTTTTCGACGACTCTCTCGCGACCCAGCCATGGTGCTGCTCATCACTTCCTCCAGTCATCACCAACGCACAACGCCACTTCCTTCGGTCATCTCCACCGCAGCTGCTTTGCTGCTTATCTGATCTAAGAGAGGATGAGAGGAGAGAGACCAATGTTTCTGGAGAGACGAGAGAGAGGGAGAGAGAGTAGGGCAAATGTATCTCATAGGGCACCGATGTTGCTCATCACCGCTACCACCGCTCATCATCGTCGTTGCCATGGATGGATCGACATACCGCTACTGCTTATCTGATCTAAGAGAGGATGAGAAGAGAGAGACAATGTTCTGATGTATATACCGTTTCTGGAGAGACAATGTTCTGCTGCTGCTTATAGCGTTTCTGGAGAGAGGAGAGATGAGAGAGAGAGAGGGTTGGGCAGATGATGTTTCTCAGAGATAATGTTCTGATGTATCCATGGGTTCTGTCTTTCTAAAAATTGATGTGTTTAGGGGTTTTTTTTTTTTTTTTTTTTGGGTGTTCTGTTTGTGCATTCTTATCCCAACTTTGATAAGAATAATTAACAATGCATTTTTCTATCCGTCTTCTTTTTATAAATTAAAAAAAAAACATACATTACTTCATTTTTTTTTGGTGTTCTGTTTGTGCATTCTTATCCTAACTTTTATTTATCAGCAATATTAGGTATCATGAAAAGTCTTTTATAAAAATGATCATGAAAGATTTGTGACATTTCGATTATACTTAAAATAAAACACCACACACTAATCAAGATAATCTAAGGGTCACAGATCTTTTATGGTTATTTTCATGAAAATTTTTTCATGATTCCTAACATTTCTCTTTATTTATTTATATTTTTTATGTAGCTTATGGGTTTGGATTTAATTTTTAAACAAATTTTGGGTCCGACATGTATCAGAGATAAGTGTTCTTATCCCATGATTGGCAATGAGCTTTTACTTTGTTCACTTATTCTTTCTTTTTATTTTTATTTTTATTTTTCCACAAATTTAATATCCCAATACAACATCAAGGAACCAGCAAGGACTGCTAACTATGTAGCTGAAGTGTTATTTGGGGTTAGAGCCAAATGGTTCTCTGCTAAATGGAACCATTAAGAGCACTACAATTTATATATAGAAAAATTAATGTGGTTTAAATTCATTATGGTTGTAGTCTTCACATTACCTAGAATCAATTTGCATATTAATTTTGTATGCATGTTTTTTTTATTTTTATGCGTACATGGAATTATTGTCGTCTTTAATTTAGTTTTGGAATCTTTCCAATTATATAACTCTCCATAAGAAAATGATGTTTTATTTTAGATATTTAAATTTATTATTAGCAACACATTTAATTATCTATTTCTTGGCAAATTTTAATTGAAAAAACAAGAATTTTGTTTACGAAAGATAGAGGGTAACTCTTCCAGATTAATGTTAAAGACTTGCACTTTGGAATTTACAATTTATTTGCAATGACATCGCAATGGAGTTGAGTTATATGATTGAATTTGTAATAAATCAAAAGTTAATATGTAATTTGTCATATCATTACATATAAAATTAGAAGGGATTTTTTTTATTGGTGTGATTTGTTTGTTATTTTGTTTGTTTGTTTTTTTTTTTTTGGGACGTATACATTGACCACTTCCCATCATTTCTCCCCTTATTTTTTTAAGGGTAGCTCTAATTTAATGGATAAATAAAAAATATTGGAAATAGCATATTAGTTGCTTTTTAAGAACAATAATTAAGAAATTGAGGTGATTCACTTACAAAGTGGTTTATCAAATAATGTCAGCTACTTCATACGTTAAAAAATACTAAGAAAAATAATATATAGATCAAGAATTCAAACACAAAACAAATGTTAATAAAGTAATGTATGTTTTAAATTCACTTCACATGTGAATTCGACTGTAACCGAGTTAAACCACACACTATTTGATTTTTTTTTTTTTTTTGATATACTATTTAAGGCTATATTTGTTTGGGAATACTACATAATTTCTCTTAAGTAGTTTTACGAAAAATCATCTAACCTTTGTAGGTCGATTGATTGATCCTAAACATTTTTAGCTGTTTGATCACAACTTTGAGACACTTTTCATAAAACATTTTTATGGTTGTTAACATTTTTGCAACACATAGATTGTAATATAAAAATTTTATTAGATAGTGCCTTCAGGCACGGGCAATCTCTAGTTCTCCTATACAACAATAAAATAACTTGAATTGTTTACATATATAACATTATTATTATTATTATTATTATTATTATTATTATTATTATTATTATTATTATATCAGCAAATGTTAGTTGTTAGCTGTTAGATTAGCACCTATGAGAGAAAATTTTCCCATCCTTGGCAAAGCAGTTAAGTGTTTGCACTCCCTTAATTCAATCCCCCGAAAGAGAATTAAACCCATGATCTCCTTGGGACTAAGCTCTAAGGATGGTATGGTGGCCAATTAGGTTAGGCTTAGTTGGCTACATTTATAACATTATTAAAAAAGGTAATCAGGCCATAGATCCATTTTTTAATATTTTGGGCCATTAGGCCCAAGATCTAATCTCTTTGAACAAAAAGGACACAATTTGTCTAAAATAACACCATTTGTTGAAATCAACCTCTCTATCTATTTTTTGAAATTACCTAATTTGTCTATTTGTTGAGATTCACTAAACTTTTTTTTTCTATCTATTGAAATTCACCAAACAACCTATATGTTAAAATGTGACACGCGTCTTTCATTCAATACCCTATCTGCTGAATATCACACATTTCTCTACCTCACTATCACTACCTGCTACTGTCAGTTGCTGATCACTGCCGCTGGCTGCGATCTAATGCCTTATACACTCTTACGGATGGACTTTATACCAATTTTCTCTATTAAACACTGCTAATTGATTTAATAATTTATTAATAAAATTGGTCATTTATTATACAATTAAAAACTTAAAAGGGCATGATATAATTTTCAAAACCATAGCGGATAATCCGTATCTTATGCGAACTTCAGGGGGTATGCTTGTAATTTCCCCCCTTAAAAAAAAAAAAAAAAGAAATCTAAAAATCTATATAAAATTTACCCTTACCCTTCCTTAGTATAGTTTATGAGCATATAATTTGTTGTCTGCATAGATATCATGCTAAATCATTAACAATCAACTTATTTAAAAACTTAAATTGTTAAAATAAAAAAATTTGTCATTTATATTCTCAACAGTTTAGAAAGGGCTTGAGAGATGCATGTGCATGGAGGACAACAGTGGAAAGGTATGGGCATTTAAATATACATTTTGGAGGAGCTATCAAGGTTATGTGCTAACCAGGGAGTGGAGCCAATTTGTGAAGGAGAAGAGGTTGAGTGTTGGGGATGTGATTAGCTTTCTTCGCTCAAGAACCAAACTTGAGACTCTACATAGATTTCAAGCTCAAAACCAAGTCAAGTGTTGAAGCAATAGAGCCAACACTTGAAGCTATTGAAAAGTGCCACGCGGTTAAGTTGTTTGGGGTCAATATCTCAGTACATTGACTAGAGGAGAAAGAAATGTATTGAAATAAAGGCCCACTCAAGTTACCAATCTTTTGCAAATGTTTGAATCTATAAGTGCGAATATCTTGTTTGTTTGTATAGTTGCAAACAAATGTGAGAAATTGGTGATTTCAGTGATTGAATGTTTCGATGATTGTAGTAGTACTCTTGGCCAAAACAAAGCACGTCTAGATCAGTGGCCTTATGGGCTTAAGAGCATTCGAGTAAAGTCTAACATGTATAATTTATAAAGAACAATAACTCTTTAGTATTCGAAAAATTGTTTTGAAATTTTATCAGAAAGGAAAATATTATTCATATAAAATTATCATCAGAATGATGTGGCAATAACATT